TTCACAATCCATTCCCAGGAATCCAAAGAAAACCAAGCCACAATTTCCCTTTCCTCTTATTTTACAATGCCGAAAATAAGTGTCCAAAAACACACCCAGCATGGTCCCCATTATGTTCCCCACTACACTCAAATTATAACCCAAAATGCCCAGGGATATTTTCCTTTTGCAATAATACATCCAATCCCCACAACAAACCTACAACAAAACTCCAAATGACACACCCCACACACACCCCTTTGTCTCCTAACCCTAACCAAATTCAAATTCCCCCAAAACCTCCACAAATACCCAGCCATATGTACCACTTCTTCTTACCCCCAATCCTTGGCCCTCAACCTCAGCCCTCCCCACATTCATCCCTCCTTCCCCCAACATTTCTTGCAACTCAGGAACAGCCCAAAACCCCACCAAACAACCCATATCCCTAATTTCATTCCACTTAAGAAACATAAGCACATGGGCATTATTTTGAGTGAGTTGTATTTTCCCTTATTCCCTCCAATGTAATCCTATATATTCAGCAATAGGCCTGGGTGTAGAAACACATTGTATTCCAATTTTAATCAAAGTGATCCACTTGTGTGTTTCATTCCAAATTCCTAATCCTATATCTTAAGAGTGGTTCTCTTGAGTGTGAGTTTTAGGTTCTAGTTATTTGAATAAGTGTGTGATATCTTATTTGAATGCTAGACTCAACCCCAAGTTAAGATAAGGGTGTGTGATATCCCTTAACACCAACTTGGCTTGTTCCTCTTCTCAAAAAATACTTATTTTCCTGTCCCGCGCCGCCAAGTAATCGACTATCACTTTAAACAGTCGAGTATCCATCTTTCGTGAAACACCTGCAGCCCTCAATAGTCGATTATCACTTTTAGATAATCGATTATCAGGCTTCCCCTGAATCCTGCAACTTCCAATAATCGATTAACATTACTTCGATAATCGATTATCTCTCTTCTCAGAACATTCCCCGAAATTGCCCAAGAACCTGAAGCCCTCAACAATCGATTATCCACTTAGGACAATCGATTATCTCCCCTTCCCTGCAAATAAAGAGATTGTAACTATAAAACCCTGAGCTTAGATATAACATTTGGTATCAAAGCCTGTTGTTGAGCATTCCCTTGAGGCCATACAACACACTTCCCCTTTTCCTTCCTTTCCATATCCTTTACTTTCTTTCCCTTACTATCATCATGTCAAACACTTCCAACAACCTGTCCAACGAAGAACTCCTCGCCTCCAATGCTGCTCTCAAGGCCCAAGTTGAGTACTTGGCCAAGCAAGTTGCCCAACTCACTAAGCTCAAGATGAGCATGGTGAATACCCCGGAGGAAAGTGAAGAAGACGAAGAAGTTCAGCCCGAAGCTAACTCTAGTAACACCACTAGAGAGGAGAATCATGAACGAGGAGCTACCGATTTCAAGGTTGACATACCAACCTTTGAAGGGAAGAACGATCCGGATGACTTTCTAGAGTGGCTGGAAACTGTTGAGCGCGTCTTTGACTTCAAAGATGTGCCCGAAGAAAAAAAGGTCAAGATCGTGGCATTGAAGTTCCGGAAGTATGCCTCCACTTGGTGGTCCAACCTATCCACCAAAAGAAGGCGAGAGAATAAGGCCCCTGTGAAGACTTGGCTCAAGATGAGGAGCTTGTTGAAGAAGAAGTTCCTGCCCGAACAATATGTACGGGACAACTTTTCCAAACTTCAACACCTAAGGCAAGGTCCCCGCTCAGTTGAAGACTATACTCGGGAGTTTGAAGAACTTTTGATGAGATGTGATCTTCACGAAAACGATTCACAAACATTGGTACGTTACCTATTTGGATTAAACACTCAAATAGCTAATGTAGTAGAGCTGCAACCTTATGATACCTTTGAAGAGCTCTCTAAGCTGGCTCTCAAAGTTGAGTCCCAACTTAAGAGAAACAAAACCTCAT